CATATTTTCTCACGTGAGAATGTCTGCGAATTTCTTATGCGATTTTATGCCATGTAATCCTGTAGAGTGTCACCAACTTTTCGGAACAACCTGCAGCTGTAATCTTTAGGGTAATGGCGTGATTGCACGGCTTCATTTATTAGAACACAGTAATCTTAATCTCTGCCATCGTGAGAATCTCAAGTGTTACGTAAAACTGTCTTTACGTGTAAGAAGTTATGCACTATCAATAACATTGCATAAGTGGTTTGCCGTGTCTGAAGAGTTTTTAAGAGCAATGCAAATTTTCGTTCCTGCGGAAATATTGAACATTTTATCTGTTATTCGTATTTAGTAGACAACTAGAACTGAGTTCAAAAAGAGTAAATTATTGTTAAGTACAAAAAATGAAGAACTGTCTCCGGTAGAGCTCCCCGTCATAAATAATTATGCTCGTTGGTATTGCCTACACATTTATTTCACCTCATTCTTAACAGTTAATTTAATGCTGGAATAAATAATATTGTATTTTGACGTTTTGTAGTATTATGCTAGTGAAGTGGAACAAAGTCCCTTGTACTGCGGCCACTTCTGGCCTATTGTACCAGCCCCAGATGATAGGTGAGGGTGATTGTGGAGCAATTGGTGGAATGAAGATTGGCAAGGGAAACCGAAGTACTCGGAGAAAACCTACCCCAGCGCCACTTTGTCCACCACAAATCCCACTTGACCAGACCCGGGATCGAACCCGGGCTGCCGCGGTGGGAAGACAGCCACTAACCGCTTGAGCTATGGCGCGCCCCCCCGACGTTTTGTTGTAAATAATTTTTCTAGGTTTCTAGAGGGGCGTACTCCATATACTCAATTTCTTTGGAGTGGGTCATGTGTCACGTGCCGCCTTGCCCCTGGGCTACTCCGTCTATGTCTCATATCACTGAGTTTTAAAAGAAGTAGAAGGGCGCCGCCATGGAGCTCCAGAAAGCAGTGGAGCACCCGTTTGGACTGCCCTGTCTCAACTACAGTCCCGTCATTCTTGGTTATGGAGGTGGCACTGAGGACCTCCTCTTCTGTTATTGTTATTACAGAACAGTAAGATATCGATTATCGATTCAGTGATTTGAAATTGACCCAACTGAGTGCGTGCCCTTTGCCTGAGGACGGCAGCGGATCCAGCTCACGGTATATTTTGTGTTCTGAGATATGTGACGGTGGTCAAATTGCAGAAACACTCGGCATTAAAGAGTTTTTGGGATTTGCCCATCGTCCGATAGTTTAAAAAATACAACGTTTCGGGATCGGATCTGTTTCTCTCCTCAGGTGTAAGGATGGGAGGACCGAACAGGTACCTCCCACCAATGCGGACGGAAACAGATCTAGTGTCCAAAGCTTTCTGTTCTTTAAAATACTGGACGATGGAAAAGTCCAAAAACTCAGCAGTTTCGATTATTCAGAACCCTTTAGCAAGTCAAGAATGTTAGTACTAAAGGTAAAGGTGAAAAACAAAGTTATCACTGTAACAGGTCGTGAAGGCCCATAGGGTTGTGAGACGTCGAGGCTCCCACATTTTATCTAGACAGTCGCTCAAGGATGGCGGTAAGGTTGTCTGCCTTACTCGCCGGCCGCCCCTTTACCCTTAGAAAGATTCGTGGTACTATTTCTGTTAGATGCTGAGTTGACCCCAGGGCAATAGAGCGGTTGGATGATTAGGTCAATTGAAAAAGTCAGTGACCTCATCGAGAATCGAGCCCGCGACCTTCTGACTCATAGCATAGTGCCTGAACCAACCTTGCTGTAGTACGATACTGTCCTCAGAATCCTGCAGAGTGAATAATATATTGAACTGAAAACTGAATTCTTTCTCTGCCAGCCCGTTAGTGGAACTTCGATTTTACGAGGCCGGATTTTACGTTTTTCGCGAATTTACGCACTTTTTGCATGGTCCCTGCTAAATGCCCGTAACTTTAATGTTAAACTTTAACGGATTCTGCGTTTTCGCAGCTTTACGTTTTTCATTAATTTGCGCTTCATTTTTCTGGTTCTGGCTACAAAAATGTATTTTAAATTTTGTAATTCTCACAATTTTTTGCCGGAGAAAACGGACCTTCTTCCCTGTTACCAGTCACAAATAGTTCAGTGTGAAAATGTCAGTAAAGTGGCTGATGCACGGCTACAAGTGATTCGTGCATGCACCGCGTGATTTCACTACGGCATAAGGCGCAGAGCTGATTTTCCCTCCGCCACGAAGCTTGACCATGCTGTCCCGGCGTTGAACCTTGATGCAACTTAGTATACAGTAACCAACAGAGTGTATTTTGTCTGTCCCATGTCTGACAAGTGTACTAAAGAATGAGTATTGCAGCACAGAGATCATTGTGTTTTCATGAGTGAAACATTTAACATAAATTCACTCCGGTTAAACTGTTCAACTTTCTTATGCCTATATGACTTCAATTCGTAAAGACCTACTTTTGTTATAGGCTAAGACGAATTTCACAGAAAGAGTATAACATGTGGCTAATAAAGGGAAACCTAAATCACAGTAAGCGATAAAAAAGATATTTCAGCACATTTTGGAACACATATTGAACAGGCATCACAGTTTAGATTTTCAGTGCCCACACTAAACCCTGTTGTGAAGAACCGTGAGGAGATTTAAAGAAGTCTCATACAGTGCGGACCATTCTCCAAGCAGCGGAAGTCATTGAAATGTTCGCCACAGGATGAACCGGAATCTGCATTTGGTGCATAGCTCAAGCAAGCACGTGATGAATAATGCTTCCATAGATGGCACCCACCTCAAGGTGAAGGGCTTACTTATCTCTGCTCCTCTGGGAATAGCTTCCAATGGTTGGATCGGCAGATTTGAGAGGAGACCCGATGTGGCTTACGGAAATCTATCAGGTGAGAGGAGGAGTCTTGATCCAGTAATTGTAGAAGATTTGAAAAATTACTGACGAGACAGGTCTGTTTTTCAGTTTACGACCTAGCAAAACATTCGCTTATCGGGGACACTTTTGCCATGGTGGTACAAAATCTAAACGGCGGGTTACTGTTCTCCTTGCATGAACTGAAGATGGTGGTGAAAAACTTCCATTAAGGCAAGTGGAAAATTATAGACGTCCACATCCCTTCAAAAAAGTACCTACAAAATAAGAAACTAATACAAATTCTTGGATAGTCATCAAAATATCTGGATAATACCTCACTCAAATGGTTAGAAGACTTGTTGCTAAAAGTTGCAAAACGTCACTTGTGTCAGTGTGCTGCTCGTCCGAAGAACGCGACGTTTCTCAGCAACTTCATGGTTGTATTTCTCCCAGCTATCTATACCACGCAGCCACACCGGGAGACATCCATGCATTAAAATTCCCTTACAGAAAACAGCTGAATTGGATGACTTTAGCCAAGATAGGTGAGGGGCTGCTCCAAGATGCAACACAGATGAAGCTGGTTGTTTTATCTGCAATGCGCTTAATAGCAGAACCTTGGAAATGCATAACACCTGCAATCAAAAACTGCGTTGAGAAGTGTGTGTGTTTTTCTTCAAATGATCAAATCAGCAGGAATGCTGGCAGTGCACTCGAACTCTGTGAAGATGAAGAGAATGACCGGCAAAGAGTGCAGTTCGAGGACTACACAACATGTGACAGTGCTCTCGAGTTTTCTCATGTCCGGAGTGCCGACCAGATGTTAGATCATCTGACTAGGCCAGTAGAAGAACCAGAAGAGGAAGAGGAAGTTGCTAATTTTAAATCAGTATTCTTGGGTGCACTGGAAGGACTGAAAACGGCCAGATATCGTATCTATCAGTTTGGTACCAAGAACAGTGTTATTGTAATGTGCAGCAAAGTTGAAAATTAATTATACAGATTGAGAGAGGATTGTAGGAGAAGACAAACAAAACAGTTACTAAAGAATGCCGTTTCCTGAGATGTGGCGCCATGTAGATCACCGCTGTGAAGACCCCAAATCCCACGTAGTGTTCATGAGTGAGGAGGCTACACATTGAGATCACATGGCGACGGCGTTCATAGTCACCGCTGTGATGACCTCAAATCCCACGTAGTGTTCCTAAGTGGGGAGGCCAAACGTTGAGATCACACGGCGGTGTTGTTCATAGTTACCGCTGTGAAGACCCCAAATCCCACGTAGTTGTTATGCCGCAACGATTGAGACACTAAAATTTCTCTTATAAACCTTACCGCTACCACCAATTTGTTGTGCCCTGATAGGGGTCCGTGACTGTACTCACCCCCTATCGGACGTCCGTGGATATCTCTTAGCCTAAGCTGTGGAAAACATGCTGGCACTCGGGGGATCCACAAATAACTCGAGTACTCCAACAACAATAAAGTAATGTATAATAAAACAAAAACAACTTGTCAGTATACACAAGACCTTCGATTAAACCCCTGGTTTTAAGTTCCTACATTTAACTGTCCATAATACGCTAATCCTAAATGGCACAAACCAACACTTTTACTTGTAACTTCAAACTCAGTACACGGATGACATGCTTCTACTGTTTCAGACTCTTCATACAACCAGCAATTATTCTCATTACTTGAATTCTTGTCCACTACAGCTACATGGTTCCTGCCTTTACCCGGTGTCCAGTTACTTTCCACAAAATGAACCAGCAAAGTCAATCCTCCTAAAAATGTGAGAGCCAAAATCATTCGCCTTTTCGTACAAAATTCTATCATTTTATATGTAACAATTGCATAAATGTTGACAAACAAAACATTCAAATGCACGAGCACTTTCAAACTTCATTAAATTACCAAACTCACATGATTAGCATTCTCTACAACCTCAAACCAACATGTCAGCATAAATACAAATGGTTACCATCCAAACTTAATTATTAACCAAATGCTGGTATCTAAACCATCACTCAATAATTCAGAATTACTCGGTTACACTCCAAAGTTTATACACTAAAACAGTTTAACCAAAATCATTGAACCAGAATCATATATTGACAATCATCAGTGATCCGAACACAGGCAAGTACTCACGCTCACAAAAAGGAAGACATCTGACTCCATCGCGTCTCCTTCCTACTACGCGACTGTTCTGAGCTATTCCTAAAATCAGAGTGTTCGCGGCTCTTTCCGTCTGAACCCCTCAACATTCAACATCACGAAAAGCTGCTCGTGCAAAACCCCTAAAGTCAGCAAACTGCGCGTTGGCGAGACTTGCCTCGTGTCGTCCCTTGATTTGTCAGCAATTTCTATAGACTGTACAACTGACACCGGATGGCTAAAGAATGTGCGGCGTCTCAACTCTGGCTTCCGGCGGGTTACAACTTGTGGTTCACCCGACGTTGTTAAATTTATAAAACTTATAATTATTTTCTAATCAATAATTCGTAAATTTGAACCCTTGTTAGGATAAAACTTACCCATTAATAACCTGGGGCACAACATAGTGTTCCTAAGAGGGGAGGCTACACACTAAGATCACACGGCGGCTGCGTTCACGGTTGTAGTCACCGCTGTGAAGACCCCAAATCCCACGTAGTGTTCCTGAGTGAGGATGCTGCACATTGAGATCACACGGCGGCGGCGTTCATAGTCACCGCTGTGAAGACCCCAAATCCCACGTAAGACTCACTTGTTGAGAAAATAGTGTAACTAGGCATACACGAGGGTTGGAACTTTAATAGTGGCAACTATTTATTTACAACTGATACAAAATAGATGCATGTTTCGAAGTTTTACTGTCCTTCAGTATAGTCACCAGCACTGTGTACAACCCGTTGTCAGCGATGTGGAAGTCGTAGGATACCTTTAGCAGCGCCTGTTGTGTTGAGAGTTCCAATGGAGCGGTCTACTGCCTGAAGAATCTCTGGAACAGTTCTGAAGCGGATGCCACGAAGTGGTTCCTTCATTTCAGGAATGAAGTCGAAGTCACAAGGGCTTAATTCCGGGGAGTACGGTGGATGGTACAGCACTTACTGTACTGCCCTAGCGGCGTAGGGGGGCATGGAGGTATCCCTCCCGCTGCTNGGAAGTTGCTAATTTTAAATCAGTATTCTTGGGTGCACTGGAAGGACTGAAAACGGCCAGATATCGTATCTATCAGTTTGGTACCAAGAACAGTGTTATTGTAATGTGCAGCAAAGTTGAAAATTAATTATACAGATTGAGAGAGGATTGTAGGAGAAGACAAACAAAACAGTTACTAAAGAATGCCGTTTCCTGAGATGTGGCGCCATGTAGATCACCGCTGTGAAGACCCCAAATCCCACGTAGTGTTCATGAGTGAGGAGGCTACACATTGAGATCACATGGCGACGGCGTTCATAGTCACCGCTGTGATGACCTCAAATCCCACGTAGTGTTCCTAAGTGGGGAGGCCAAACGTTGAGATCACACGGCGGTGTTGTTCATAGTTACCGCTGTGAAGACCCCAAATCCCACGTAGTTGTTATGCCGCAACGATTGAGACACTAAAATTTCTCTTATAAACCTTACCGCTACCACCAATTTGTTGTGCCCTGATAGGGGTCCGTGACTGTACTCACCCCCTATCGGACGTCCGTGGATATCTCTTAGCCTAAGCTGTGGAAAACATG